GCCTCTTATGCCCAGTAATTTAACCAGGAAAAACCTCAGGTGAGCTGAGCTCCACATGCCCTGCGTGTCTACACGACTGAAACGTCATGACCAAGCAGCTGTCGAGCACATCACTGGTTGTGTGGTGACAGGCCCCCTCCCTGCTCCTCAGCCAGGAAGCCACGCGGCCTGTACCCACTGTGCGTGGGAAGAAAGCGCAGACCCCCTGTTCTGGAGTCAGCCACGTGTGCCCCTCCCCCACTTAAAAATTCCACACTTAATTTATCCCTTTGCCTCTCCCTTCATCACTACTGCCAAGTTTCAGTCCTAAGGCTTCTCTCTCACCCATGAGGCCACAGAAGCGGTCAAAGGTTCTGGGAATTCGAGTCTGGGGGTTCACTTCAATCAGCACATTCTTCTGTGTGTGGATATAAACCTGCAGCAAGCCAGCCCGGTTCAGGGGACTGTCCATCAGCATCAGTAAACTCTGAGGGAGGCGGAGACCAAGGCACGGTTAAGACTGAAGAGAAGTCGCACGCAGCTGCCTTACCTTCCGTACAGAGGCACGGGGGCCTGAGCCCTGTCCCTGGAGTTACCTGGTGAGCTATGTCTGGTCTCACTTCCCCAGGGTCCCGTCCGTTCTTCAACAACATGGACTTGTGCTTGTCGCAGTTGAGCAGCTCATACGTCTTCCCCACCTGACGAACGGAACAAGGTCAAGAGCAACATAAGCTGCTTTTACCTGGAACAGCGGTTCTCAGAGGTGGTCCCCAACCAGCAACATCTGGAAACCTGTTAAGACAGTCACATTCTCAGGTCCACTCCAGACCTACTAAATCAGACACACGGTGTGCGGCCCTGAAAACCGTCCAGGGGATTACTGTGTGGCCACGTCCTCCCCCCGCCACCCCATCCCATAACTGGTCTTGGAGGGAAAAGGGAGGAAGAGTGCAGCCTGTGATTCCACAGGATCTAAACTGGATTGAATTTTTTAAAATTTATTTGTTTATTTTTGGCTGCGCTGGGTCTTTGTTGCTGCGCACAGGTGTTCTCTAGTTGCAGCGAGCGGGGGCTGCTCTTCATTGCAGTGTGCCGGCTTCTCATTGCGGTGGCTTCTCGTTGCGGAGCATAGGCTCTAGGCGCGTGGGCTTCAGTAGTTGTGGCTCGCGGGCTCTGGAGCGCAGGCTCAGTAGTTGTGGTGGACGGGCTTAGTTGCTCCGTGGCACATGGGATCTTCCCGGACCAGGACTCGAACCCGTGTCCCCTGCATTGGCAGGCGGATTCTTAACCACTGTGCCACCAGGGAAGTCCCTAAACTGGATTTAATTTTAAAACCTATGGGTATTAGGCAAAGCCAGTGAGGGATTCTGGAACCAGGCAGAAGTGAGGTTAATGAGCAAGACTGAATGCTTGTTTATCACAAAAGCATTATGTAGACATTGGGCAAAACATACGCGGTCACTACCCTCAGGTTGCTATAACAAACATGCACAAAGAGCTGCAAATCAGAGCAGGAAGAAATGTGAAAATTCTAATGAGGCAAGAGGTAGTTTAATCAAGGAACGTTCTCATAAGTAAAACAAAGAGGGGTGGTTCCAATTTTAAGACATGTGAGCAACCGCTAAAAGAAACAACTGCAAATCAGAGCCCTGAGGAGCATTATAGGGTGGTCAATAAAAAGTTTAAAAACATACCAGTAGGGCTTCCCTGGTGGCGCAGTGGTTGAGAATCCTCCTGCTAATGCAAGCGACACAGGTTCGAGCCCTGGTCTGGGAGGATCCCACATGCCGCGGACCAACGGGGCCCGTGAGCCACAACTACTGAGCCTGCGGGTCTGGAGCCTGTGCTCCGCAACAAGAGGCCATGACAGTGAGAGGCTCGTGCACCGCGATGAAGAGTGGCCCCCGCTCGCTGCAACTGGAGAATGCCCTCGCACAGAAACGAAGACACAATACAGCCAAAGATAAATAAATTTATTAAAAAAAAAATACGTAGCTTTCCAAGTACTCTATTAAAAGACTTTAAAAAAATAAAAAAAAATAAAAACATACCAGTAAGTACAAACACAGGTTTCGAAAAGGCCAAGTTTTTATGTATCAACACAACATTTGTATGTCCAGCAACATCTTGAGATATGACTCCAAAAAGTTTGGGGGAAGAGGCATATAGATTTTGAAATTAACTGAGTAACTGAAATAACAAGAATGTCACAGAGAGTAAAACAAAGGACCAAGAACTAAGTCCATGGGACACTCTTAGTTATAGAAAAAAAAAAAACCTCTTGAATAGAAGAATCTAGTTTTGACCCATTAGTAAGTTATAACCAGGGTTTTCGTTCTCTTAATGGAACAGAATAGAAAACATCAGAGTACTTCAAGTATAGTCACGGTAAGTAAAGGCTTATGGAACTTTCGGCTTCATATAATTGAGTGCGCATACTGGCTCACGATGTAATTTTTTTTATTGTGGGCTGTGGTTAATAAGCTTGAAAACCACTAATTAGAATAATCGGAGAATGCATACCATGTGTATTCTGTAATAGGCACTGGAGATACAAGAATTTTTAAAACCTTATTCTCTGTCCTCATTATAGCCTTCTAGTGGAAGAGACAAACTAAACAAGCACATGAGTATTTAACGTGAATTGTGATAAACATTACGAAGGAAAACTAAACGGTTCACTAAAGAATTATGAGGACCTGATTTATACCTTGAAGGGAGTCATTTCTATGGGAAAGTAACATTTAACCTAATAACTGAAGAATGAGTAGCCTAATAGGCTCAATAATTGTTAAATGAATAAACATTAAGTAGGAATTAATAAAGCAAAGAGTCGAGTAAAGGGTGCTTGCAGTTAAACAGCGTTATCTGCAATGACCTTAAGGTATGAGAGAACGTAGTGCTTTCAAAGAGCTTAAAGAAGGGCAGTGAGGCTGGAGTACAAAGAATAAATGGAGGGACTTCCCTGGTGGTGCAGTGGATAAGACCCTGTGCTCCCAACACAGGGGGCCCGGGTTCGATCCCTGGTCAGGGAACTAGATCCCATATGCATGCTGCAACTAAGAGTTCACATGCCACAACTAAGGAGCCCTGGAGCCGCAACTAAGGAGCCCGCCTGCCCCAACTAAGACCCAGCACAACCAAATTAATTAATTAATTTTTTAAAAGGAGGGGATATACGTATACATATAGCTGATTCACTTCATTGTACAGCAGAAACTAACACATTGTAAAGCAATTACACTCTAATAAAAAATAAACAATTTTTAAAAATTGAAAAAGAATAAATGGAGAGTGCAGGCCCAGATGAGGCTTGCAGAAGCAAGAGGTATCAGCACAAGGAAGACAAAAGCTAACAGTATGGAAGATTTCAACCAGCTATGGAGTCCATCACCCTTGGAGTACCATTAATGACAACTGGCCTAATTTATTCCAGAGCATGCTCTAGGAACTTTAATTTGCCCACAACCTTTTCAACTTCCTAATAAGTAACCTGAATCAAGAATAATAATAACAAGTATTTCCAAGTGACAGAAATTATTCTAAACCCTTTCCACATATTAACTCCTTTAATCCTTCCAACAGCCCAGTAAAATAGGAACTACTGTCATCCCCACAGATATGAAGAAATGAAGTGGTTAAGTGATGCTCAGAATTAATAGCCTGGGAAGACAGCGGCAATGAAGTGAGAGATGAATATATGAACCTATAATTAGGTTAGAAATATCAATTATAGAAGAAAATGAAAGGAAACCTGATTAGCTGGTCATTTAAAAAAAGAAAAAAGTTTTCTAAACTGCAAGCTTAATAAAGTGCCATAGTGGTTGAGGAAGAAAAGCTGGAAATGAATTGCACTCAGATTACTATGGCAATGTACTACTTTTAAAGCACTTTCATTACAATCCCCCTGCAAAGTATTAACCCCCGCTTTACAAACTAAGGACAAACTTGTTTTCTCAAAATCACACACTTGAAATAAGTGTAAGAGCCAAGATTAAAATCCGGGTCTGGCTTCTAAACCAGTGCTACTTCTTCTGGCCCTACTCACTGAACAAGTTTAGTTCTAAACAGTATGAGAAACAATATCAGAAAGAATGAGAACACTGCACAAATTTTTAAGACGGGGAACTGCCGGATTTGTTCGGGAGAAGAGCCAAATGATCAGTAAAACTAAAGATGTGAAAGTATTAATGATAATCTGGTCCAGGCAGTGTTTTGAAATGTACAGTAATATAAAGGAGAGTGACAGACACCTTTCAACGTATTAAAACATTAAGTCCTTACAAATAAAAGGGTGGGAAGACTGAGCTGCAGTAACTACCTTTCCCCTCTACCTAGTAAGCTTGTCTTGGGATGAAGCGGGACGACGCGATGGACGAAACCCCTTCCCCTTAGACGACTCTGGGGTTGGGGATGGGGTTAGGGTTACCACAGAATCCTAGTAAATCAATCGGAAGCAAGCATGTGACGGCTGCAATGGGATTCAAGGGCAAAGAAAACGAGCACTGCCGACCCGTGTTAAAGGAAGAGACGGTCGATTAGGCCACTCTTTCTCCAAAGCATGTTTCACCTGTCTCCGCTTTCTCCATCCACTTTGAGCCCATCACCCTCACCCAACCTGGTCCCATCCTATCGATCTACTAGCTCTTCACCCCCTAGTCCGAAACTACCTTGACTGTCTCCAGACTGGCCCCTTCCAGCACCACAATGAGCCTACGGCCTCCTATCTTGCTTCCCACCCCGAGTCGGGGCCGCTTGGGCGTCGCAGCATCCCAGTCCTCTTCCTGCTCCGCGGCCCGCCGCTCACGAGGTTGCAATCCACCACCGGGCGCTGCCATCTTGCAACCGGACCGGAAATTGTGTAACGTCCTTAAACTAGGGCCTCGCTCTCGCCCCAAATGCAAGCTTCCTTCCGTCTGCCATTTTGAAAGTGGGCGCTCGGAAATGGCGACGGCTGGCTGCAGATGCTCCCGAAGCCGCTCTGGGAGGGCAGGGTTCCAGAAAGGGGAGGGAACTTCCAGAGGCGTGCTTCCTGTGCCGCAAGCTCGGGTCCGCTGTAGGCTGGGGGGAGAGTTTAGAACGGAACGCACTTCCGGTGCCCTTTCTCCCGCGAGCACCTGGGGCCGGACCCTCGTGTGGAGGGTGCGATCCGTAAACTGGAGAGCTGTAGAGGCGGGCCGGCACCCCCTTCGGACCACTGGTGCCGCCGGCCTCAGGACCGAACATGGCCCAGAACTTGAAGGACTTAGCGGGACGGCTGCCTTCCGGGCCCCGGGGCATGGGCACGGCGCTGAAGCTGCTGCTGGGGGCCGGCGCCGTGGCCTACGGCGTCCGCGAGTCGGTGTTCACCGGTGAGCAACCTCAGCCTGCCCTCCGGACTCCGCCCGACCCTTCCCGGACCCCTGCCCAGCCCCGCCAGGTCCCCGCGCTCACCCAGCCCCTCACCCCGCCCCACCAGAGGCTGGCACGTACTCTGAGCCCGGCCTGGGCTGACCCCTACCCCTCTCCCTGCAGTGGAAGGAGGGCACAGAGCCATTTTCTTTAATCGGATCGGAGGCGTGCAGCAGGACACCATTCTGGCCGAGGGCCTTCACTTCAGGTAATGGCGGGCAGAGCGGACTGACCCTGACCCTGACCCTTCACCCTTGAACGCCGACCCACCTATGGCTGTGGGAGGACTTTCAGCGGGATTCCGCGCCGCTCTTTACCCTCCTCACCCCATCTCCCAGAACAGTGCGTGCTGGCCCCATCTCCCAGAACAGTGCGTGCTGGCCACATCTTCAGGAGCACATACTGTTGTTCTCCGGAGGGAAAAGAGAATTTCTTTTTGACCGTGGTCAGTAAGAGGAGGAGCAGGCCAAGAAACACGTGGTGAAGGAAAACCGGACAAAACTAGGGAAACGGTAGTCTCCTAATCCCTGTCCCTGTTCCCTCCCCTCCAGGATCCCCTGGTTCCAGTACCCCATCATCTATGACATTCGCGCCAGACCCCGAAAAATTTCCTCCCCCACAGGCTCCAAAGGTAGGTCTGGGCACTGGGGTGCCACTGGCAGTAAACAAGGGAGCCTGGCCAGAGACTAGGCAAGATGGGAGTGTCAGATCTCTTGGGCCTTCGTTTCCACCTTTGCAAACAAGCTAAAATAAAGGTACCTGCTTTTGGAGTTCAAGCAGTACATTCTGGACACGCTGTGTGTTTGTACATTTTTCAACTGTTCCTCCCCCCTAACGTGAACTCGGTGAGAGCATTGTTTGTCTTTTGTCTTAGTCACTGCCTAGAACAAAGCTTTGTTTTAAAACCTTTCTTTTAATTCTTTGACTCATTAATCTACTGGTACGCTCTGTCCTGGGGAAACTTGGCTGCACTTTTCACTGGTGCACCTGTTCCCTCCTAGACTATTCACAGAAGCTGTGCCTTTGAGATTCCCCAGACCAACCCTTACACACACACACACACACGTTCACAATGAGGCAAGTAGCTCACCTGTAACGTACTGTTTTGCACGATTTTTAGTGCAGGTTGCTTAATATTCCCGAAACCCTGGGCCCTAAGAAATCAAGGATTCACAAAACACCATCTCTGTTCTCAAGTCCTTACAGTCTAGTTCAGGATTATGGTACAGCGTAACAGAGCCTAAAGTAGAGTAGCGAAAAGAAAGGTCAGCTTTACTGGAGGAGGGTTGTGGGTAGAGAAGACTTGACAGTGGACAAGGACGCATTTGGTCTGTGCCGAATCACTCTCCTCCCCGCGGGGCAGTTCCGGACCACAGGGCACTGCCCTGGGTAAAGAGAGAAGCCAGAGGAGAAAATGCTTGGGGAGGCAGGCTTTGCTAGGAAGCCAGCTGAGGCCCGCGTGGCCTTGCCCAGCCATTGCTAACCTCACGCTTAGACCTGCAGATGGTGAACATCTCCCTGCGGGTGCTGTCCAGACCCAACGCCGCGGAGCTTCCCAGCATGTACCAGCGCCTGGGGCTGGATTACGAGGAGCGCGTGTTGCCATCCATTGTCAACGAGGTGCTCAAGAGCGTGGTGGCCAAGTTCAACGCCTCCCAGCTGATCACCCAGCGGGCCCAGGTCTGGCTCTGGCTCCCATCACCATCTGCGTAGCATCAGCATTTCCATCCTAGGCCCAGCGCACTGGGTGTTAGGAAAGGGTAGTGACCCGAGGTCCGTTGCCCCCAAAAAGCTGTGCAGATGGCCACCGTGGGAAACAAGGAGAGCCAAGATTGGAGCTCGATAGCAGTTAGTGTCGGGCTGCGTGGGAGAAAAGTGGTCCAGGCGTGCGTGTGGGGTTGGTACAGCATGGAGGAGTCAGCGTGACCTAAGTCCTTCCCAGCTCAACTGGCCTAACGAGGAACTAAGAAGGGGTTAGCGCACTTTCTGCGGTTCTCCGGAGATCCGGGATTCTGACGATCACAGAAGCACGCCTTCCTTTCAGTTCTCCAGTCCCCTCAACGCCCCTCTCTCCTCCCCCCGGCCCCCAGGTGTCCTTGTTGATCCGACGGGAGCTGACAGAGAGGGCCAAGGACTTCAGCCTCATACTGGATGACGTAGCCATCACTGAGCTAAGCTTTAGCCGAGAATACACAGCTGCTGTAGAAGCTAAACAAGTGGGTGAGTCGCAAGAGGAGTCAGGCAAGGGTTTCTGAGGAAGCAGGAGGAGGGATGGGGTTCCTGACACCTTGCATCTGTGACCCCGGCTCTCGCCCGCTACAGCCCAGCAGGAGGCCCAGCGGGCCCAGTTCTTGGTGGAAAAAGCGAAGCAGGAACAGCGGCAGAAGATCGTGCAGGCCGAGGGCGAGGCTGAGGCCGCCAAGATGATATCCTGCTGCAGGGCTCTCAGCCCAGCCCCCGGGACACTCTGCTCCCGTCCGGCCCTGTGGCTGGCTGATGACGCTAAGGCGAATGCGAGCCGTGCTCTCTGACCCCTGGGGGCTTGGGGTGCTGGGTGGGATCTGAAGTCTTAGTGGGGCAGCTGAGGCCTGGCTCCCCACTGTAAGGCAGATCAATAGCACTGCTGGCCTTGCCTCCATCTGTGCTGCTGCCTCCTGTTCCCGGCAGCGGCCTGCGGGGAGGCCTACAGGTAGGGGCAAAGCAGGGCTGGGCACGAGCCACCTGAGCGCAACCTTGGATCTGACAGCCCAGAGGATGGCTGAGTGAGCCGAGTCCTAGGGTGCGGCCCCAGCTGAGATCTGGCCTTGTGTGAACCCTTAACCCCACCCTGCTCACCTGGGAGAAGCTCTGGGCAAGAACCCAGGCTACATCAAGCTGCGCAAGATTCGGGCAGCCCAGAACATCTCCAAGACGGTGAGTGTGAGCTCAAGGCCGCCTTGAGGGGGGAAGGTGTTTCTACACATTGAAATGAGGGAATTAGGGTCTTGCGTGTTCGGATTTCTATTCAAACTGGCTTCTCTGACACTCCTCCTCCCATCAAAAATGGTGTCCCCTGGGCGCCCCTGACCTTTTGTTCATGCCTCTTGTGGACTTAATGCATCACAGTTGCTCGCTGCTCTGGATCCTTGTGTGAGCGCAGAAACCGTGGCTTTCACATCGCCACTTCCCTGTTCGTAACCCACACGTGTGTTCCACCAGTGGTTACTGAATTGCAAGGGTAGGAATCAAGGTCTTTTTTGCTTGGTACAAACATCCATCTTACTTTCTGCCCTGTAGATCGCCACATCACAGAATCGTGTCTATCTCACTGCTGACAACCTTGTGCTGAACCTACAGGATGAAAGTTTCACCCGGTGAGAGGCATGGCCTTCAGGTGGGGTGTTGACACAGAACAAGGGCCGGAGTCTGGCCGCCTGGGCTCTGGAGCCTGTTACCAGCTTACTCGTGTGACCCTTGAAAACACCATGTCTCTGAACCAGTTAGAAAAGTGGGTGGTTGACAATTCCTAACTTGAATCTCACAGGATTGATTTTATGCGATCCAATGGGATTATTCACGTAAAAAGCACTTTAATTGTAAGGTTTTAAGTGAAAAGTGGTAAAAGATGATACTGGCTGTTCTTCCTCGGGAGCTGCTCTGGGGCACGGAAGGATGCTGGGAAAGCAGGGGTGAGAAATGGCAGTGGCCGGGGAGCAAGTCTTCTTCCCAGAGCCTGAGATTGCCGGCTTCCAACATGCTTGTCTTTTTCTCTTGGGAGCGGAGGAGGGTTTAGAGTTGGGTGGGGCATGAAACTGTCAAGTCACATGTACCTTTCTCTTGTCTTTCTGTGTTCCCTGTTCATCTGGTGACCTGGCGTCCACAGGGGAAGGTAAGTTGATGGTGCATCCTTGTTTCTGTGGGGTCCTGCCTTTTCCCCACCACATCACCTTTCTCACCCCCCCACTCACACATTCAGGGAGGAGGGTAGTTGAGGAGGGAGTGGCCCGAGGTGCTCTGCCTCTCACAGGTACGTCCCCCCCTAATAATGTCACCGTCTGTCTCATTTCCACAGTGACAGCCTCATCAAGGGTAAGAAATGAACTGCTGAACAAGAACTCCACCCTCAGGGAGGAAGTGGATCTTTTCCTTCCCCGGTTTTTGAGGAGCCAGCTTGGGGCCCTACCCCGCCCCCACCGTCAAGTGATGGTCCCCTCTGCATCTGTCCTCCCAGCCCTTCTCGGGTGAACAAAGACTGACCATTTTCAGGGGAGTGACTTTCCTCCCTGTGTCGGCCAGAGGTGTTGGGACTGTGTGATTTCCTGCAGGGTTGGTTCCTCCCTCGTGGTCAGAAGCAACAACCACCACCCCAGAGATTCTCAATAAATGTTTATTACTTAATCCGAAGTCAAAGCCTCTGGTGTCTGAACTGGGCTGGGGAGGCACGCATGCGCACGCTCACACCGAGCACTCCTGGGTCCTTCTTCGTCTCTTCCAGCAGGGGGCGCGAGGACACCGGCCGGGGCAGGTAGGGAGGGCCGGGGCCTGCCGCTCTCACCCTGGAAGCCCTCAGAGCCGGATCCAGAACAGGACCCAGGGTGGGAACTGCGAGTCCTGGAGTCCGAGGCCAGCTGCACTCCCCACCCCACCCTCCTAAACCGCATCACCCCTTTGCTTACCAACATCTCCTTTTTTAAAGGCTGGAGCAGCTGTGGCTTTGCTGAGCTAGACCAAAAATCTCATGACCCCAACAGGAGCTGCTTCCTTGGTAACAGGGCTCCATGCAGCTGTGGGGAGACCACTTGTGCTCATCAGGGGGTTTACGGGTTCAGACGGCTGGCAAACCGTGTCGCCTGCTGCAGGCTACCCACACTTCAGTCTCTCAGTCAGGGCTCGACCTCTGGAGGTGGGCTCTTCACTCCCACAGCCCTGGGCCCCCAACGGGACAGGCGCCTCCTCCCTTCCCGGCGCCGCCCTCACTGAGGGTCGTCGGGCGGTAGAGAAACGAGGCCGCTGGCTGTGCCCACATGCCACCCCAGCCGTGCCGGGGCGAAAGTGTAGGTAGGAATCCTGGAATTCTTAGTGGTGGGGTTAGAGGGCAGAGGGCCTGGGTTCACCTTCAGCTGCTTCGGTTTTTGAAGAAAGTAGATTAACTGTCCCCTGCTCTGCAGGTTGATTGTCATGAAAGGGACGGGGAGACCAAGCAGATGTGGCCGCCCCAGCCCTGAGGAACTGGAAGCCCAAGGTGAGAGGTGAATGAGCAGAACGAGTCCGCCCAAGTCCCATCCACATTTTATTTCCTTCGCATTCCCGAGGCAGGAAGAGGATGGAGATGCCCAGAGAACCAACGTGTTCCCAAGTCCCGCTGTGTCTCCGAGGCAGCCATTTTGTCTCCTCCCATTGTTTACTTTTCCTAGAGACTTAACCCCCCCTCCCCAAGGGTAAAGGTCAGAGGTTGCTGGTCTGGAGGCCTCCGTGGTCTTCAGGGCTCCCTGAAGGTCATTGCCGAGGGCACCGGCCGGGGGCCATCTTTACCAGACAGTGTTAGGAGCTTCAACATTAGACCATCCAACACTGTGCTGGAAGATGGACCCAGAGCCGGCCACAGGCGTCCGGGCTGAAGCCGGCCGGTCGCTCCAAGGACCCTGGCCGCAGGCCAGCTGAGGTCTATTGAAAGTCTGCGAGCCAGTCCCCAGCTCAGGGTCAAACTGTGGGTTCTGGGTCCTCCAGATGACAAATCTCACTGGGTTGGGGGAGGGGCTGGGGCCATTGTGTCCCTTCCGTGGGCAACCAGCCAACAGCCAACCGAGGGCCACCTCTTTCTCAGCACCCTCTGCTCAAGAGGAGGGGGCCTCCAGGGCTGGGGGAGGCTCGGGAGTGGGCGTCACGGCCAGCTGGGTGCTGGGGGCCCGGGGCGGTGGGCGTCGCTGGCACGGGGCAGGGGCCTCCATCATTACCCGGCAGTATTAGAGACTCTCAACCAGCACCCAAACACTGCTGGGTAAGACGGGGGCCCCCACCCCACCGCCCGGACGGGCCGGCAGTCCTCTCCCAGGCGCCCGGTGGAGCTGCGGAGCCCTGGCTCCCCTCCCCCACCGCCCGTGTCCCCGGGGACACTTCCGGGTGAGCCCGGCAGCCGTCACCAGGCCCATCCCGGGTTGCTGATCCACTGAGGCCGGGTCAAGGCTTCGGAAGCCCCCCGCCCATCTCTTCCCCGCCCTGAGCCCCCTCCCCGCCCCCCCAGCCTCTCCCTGCCCCCCAGGCACCAGCTCACCACCCTCAGCACCCCCCCCCCGACCCCAACAGTCCCTCGCTCAGCCCCAGGACCCCTCTCCCGCCGGCCTTTACCTGCCACCAGGCCGCCTGCCCCCCCCAGGGAGCGAGGGCCGTGGAGAGGAGGAGGAATCGAGGCTCGGGATTCAAGGCCTAGAAGCCGCCCTGGCCTCCACTCTTCCTCCTTCCTTCTCGCCTGCCGGGCAGCGCAGGCCCCTACCTGGGCCCCGCCCGCCGCCCCTGCGCACAGGTGTGTCCTCCAGCCATAGGCTGCACCCCCCCGCTGCCTTAACCCCTTCCCTCCCAGCGCCAGCCGCAGGCGCCTCCTCTGAGGCCTGGTCACCCCGGCAGGCCCCGACCCTCGGACCCTCGGCCGTGGTCTCTCCTCTGCTCCGGGGCCCAGACCAAGGAGCCTGGTGTCGGAGGGACAGAGGGACGGGTTGTCTTCGCCCCCTTCGCCTTCCTCCTTGGCCTCGCCCCACGGCCACTCCCACCCCCGGCTAGCCCCTTCCCCCAGGCCCCTGCCCAAGAGCCTGAGGGCAGAGAGGGCTCAGCTCAGCAGGGACTGGGTTGTGCCCCTGCCCGGTGCCCACCTGTGTGGAGGGCAGGCGGGTCCCCCAGGGGCGCCTCTCTGTCCTCACCCTTAGTATTGGGGTGCCCGCCCCTCCCGCCAAAGGTCCCAAGCTGGCCAGGAGCGTCGGCACTGACCCGGCCGATTCAGGTTCTGAGCTGCTCTCCTGCAGCCCTGGCTCTGCTCTCCAGAGGGACCGGGCGCCCCGCCGGGCAGAGCTGCCCCTGGACCCACCTCACAGCCCTGGAGAGTCCAAGTCCCAGCCGCCGGGCAGTCAGCCCGAGGGCGGTGAGAGGGGATGGGACCCGCCTTTCTTTTGTGTGGCTCAAGCTGGGATAGAAAGGGCGTTGCTGGGAGAGGGGCCCTGAGGCCCACAGGTGATGCTCCACCCACGCACCCCCTGGAGGGCGATAGCTCCTGGGAGCTGAGCTGTGTCGCCCAATCCCAGCTCTGCCTTCTCGCTCCCTAACACCCCCACACCTTTGTTTGCGTCCTTCTTAATTCTTGTCTGTACTTATTCTATGTTTGTGGACTGTTTCTGGGTCTGCCTTCCCACCAGGACAGGAATTGTCGGGTTCACCATCATGCCCCAGCACTGCTCCAGTGCCTGGGACACAGGGACGCTCAATAAACAAAGTGTATGCTGAGTGAATGACCACCCAGCCTCAGCCGGCCCAGCAGCAGGGAGCCGGGCCTTCCCAAGTCAGACTCTCTCAGGCTCAACTCCCCAGGAGACTAGCATTATAATCAACATAAAGCCTTAATGCAAAGAAGGAATCATCGCTGTTGTCCACTGTGGACCCAGGGGAAGGAAGAGCGGACAAAAATAAAGCTGAAACTCTGACCAAGGGCCTAAGGGCTCTTAGTAGCCCCAGAAAGGGAGGAGCGTGGCGCTCCTTTGCACACCAGGTGCCCGGGGGAGGGAGGTTGGCCCTGGGCCTGTGTTAACTGGCCGTTGTTATCCATCTTCTTAGCTCCTGGATGTAGAAGTACGGGCCGGAGAATGTGGTTATGTCCCCCTCGGGGTGACTCTGGCTGCATCTCCAGGAATGCAGGCTCTGAGGCCAGAGGGCCTGAGTTAAAATAAAATCTTAGCTTCACCGCTCAATAGTCCTGTGGCCTTGAGCAAGTTATTTAATCTCTCTGTGTCCGTTTCTCCCACTGTAAAATAGGAATGATACAGGTACCTCGGTTCAATAACCACTTTTAGTCTTTTCAACAGCGCCTGACACACAGCAAGAGTGTAACGAATTTCATCATCCCTGATCTCAGTGATCTTCACGACCACCCTTGCAGGATCATCCTCCACTTTAAAGGGACGAGACGGCGGAACCTGACCCACACACTCGTGTGTCAGACTGTGAAGGCCCAGCTTTCTGTGTCCACATGTAGCACTCCCTGCCCGCCTCCCCCTCCCGCCCAGGCACACAGAGTTAGAGACCCACACACAGTGACCTAGAGGCTTTATTTACAAGAGAAGGGCCCGGCCCTGCCAGGGGCCTTGCTGGGCTATATACAGGGGCTGGGAGAGGGAGGTGGGGACATGGCCATTTAAATTACAATGGAATGGGGGCCAGGCTCCGTGGTTCAGGCTCTGGGTCTTCCACTGGAGGCCTCTGCAGGGACGGGGCTGAGGCTGCAGAGACAGGGAAGGAAGGGATAAGAGGGGGTTGGACCTGGAGGGGGGACAAGACACAGGTCTGGTTGGGTTGGGAAGACAGGGTGAGGCCGCAGCCGCCCCGTCCATCCCAGGGAGAGCACCGAGCCTGGGGGCCCCTGAGGGCAGGCCAGGGAGGGGCCGTACCATGGCCGCCCCAGGACGGGCCCAGCTCACTTCCTCTTCAGGGAACCCTTGCTCTTCTCCTTGTCCGCCGACCGCTGCTTCTTCACCTTCTCGCCCTTCTTGTTCTTACTGTGCACGTTCTCATACACGTCCTCCTTGTGTCTGCAGGCGAGGCAGGCGGGTGCGGGCAGTCAGGACACAGGGCAGGGGTCTCCCGAGGACACAGCCCTCGGGGCCACCCCCATCTCACAGGTGAGCAAACTGAGGCCAGGAGAGCAAGGAGACCAGTCCTGACAGTGTCCTTATACTAGACTAGAAGCTCCTTTGGGGGCAGAGGCTCCATCTCACACATCAGCGCCTAGCACAGGCCCCACGTGGAGGGCACTCAGGAGATACTTGTGAACACAGGTTGTAAGAACCAAGCTTGAACTTTAACCCGAACCTCCCTGGAAAGGACACGTCGGGCTGGGGAAGAGAAAGGGGCAGACGCTGGGAGGTGGGAGGTGGGGCCACTCACTTGGAGGAGGTGCGGGCGGCCTTGGCATGGGCATTCTTCATGGCTGGGGGGTAGGTAATGTTCCCGTACTCCGACTCCCAGCCCTTCTGGGACTGTGGGAAGAAATGTGGTGGGAGGCCAGTGGTCCCAGCAGCACCGGGCAATGTCCACTGCCCCCCTCGGCCCCTCCAGGCCATGCTCGGCCGTACCTGCATGACCTCCAGCTTCTTCTTGGTGGTTTCGATGAACTGGGCGATGGCCACGTAGATGAACTTGTACTGCGC